GAACTTAAAATAAGTTACCATGATGAGTATATATTGTAATTAATAGGGCTCTCCAAAAAAAAATAACTTAATTCAAGTTCCTTAACAGCAGCCCAGTAATAGGATTACCCGAGGTGTGGATCCCAAAGATCCTAGAGCCCTACGAGGCGCGCGAAGTTTCGAATGCTGGCGTACCTGCGGATGATAGGGTATAATGTAGACCCGTGATTAAGAAACCCTCTCCCCTTAATTAATAAGGATTATTACAGGAATCCTACTCGGGGTTTATTAATGTATCACAGGTCTACATTGAGCCTTATTACAGTATTTTTCTCTCAGGACATGTTAGCTCAGGCTCAGATCCTATGCCGGCAAGGAGCTGCGATGGGAGGTTTAGGTATGGACATGCCTTCTCAAGAACCTTTGTAAGAAGGATTATAGATCTAGTGGGGTGTATGTAGTAGCCTTAAATCCTCAACCTTAACCGTTTTGAAGCCCTATGTCAGGGTCTGCTTCCCGAAGCCCTGAAAGCTGTGAAAGGGTTTAGGGTTTAGGGGTTTAGGACGGCTCATCGCAAGCTCAGCCGCTACCCCGTGTGACTGGTAGTCTTGCTGCGCATTCCCGTAGGAATCCAAAACTTCCCCAAATTGCAGACTCTAGGGTCTGACTCAGGCATTGATTTTAGACTTGGCTCTACAGGGTTCTGTAAGCGCAGGCGGCGGAGAGTTTCGCAAAATAGCCTTATGGAATGTGAAGAGGGACCCCTCTCTTCCTCTCATCGTCCTTATCCCATACTAAACCCTAAACCATCCTAAGCCCTATTACCCCTAGACCCTAAACCCTTATCCCTAAACCCTGACCCTGAACCCTAAACCCTGATCCCATAATCCGCCTGCATCCCATGGATCCCCTCAAGTCTCCCCTTTTTGAAAAACCCCATGTGGCCTGTTCTGATCCGTCTAGGAAGGGTTTAGGGTTTAGGGTCCAGAGCGACGTACTTCATAGTATCCTTCAATGCTCCAAGATCATCAAAACTCTAGCCCATGTGCTTATCATTCTGGGGATATAGACTGTCATTATGCATGCTGAGTAGGTCTAGCTAAACTCCTGAAAAGTGGATCTCTGTAACCAATTCACGTATGGTCTCAACACTTCAAGGATCGCCCAGTACCGGCAACAGGCATTCCCGCTGCAGCTCTAGCCTTTGCTTTAGCAACAAGAAGGCAGAACCATTGGCACACATAGCACCAGTAGCAATGTTGGTAAGCGGAACATGTATCCTCAACCAAGCCCTGTACTAGGGCGGCACCGACGGAGATGGGCTACCACCAGATTTCAATTTGCTGACTCGGAGAGCTGAGATAGCGCCAGGGCGGTTCAAGGGCCGCTTGACAGCAAGTACTGGGTTGCTGTTAAGGAACTGCTTAGAATTACTATAATGGGGAAATCCCTTTATTTGCCATGTACCCATCATGTGGTAACTTAAACTAAGTTCCTTAACAGCAACCCAGAGATAGTTTTAGGAGTTGGGGCCTGAGAGCGGGGATTTGCTGAGCCAGTCATTTTTTATATGCTTGTGTTGGATAATTGCAGGTGTAAAAGGGGTCAAAACCATTAGTGCCGCGTTTCTGGATGGTCGGCTAAGAGCATACTCGGGATAACTAGCCAGGCTGATAGGTGCCAAAGAATTCAACAACAAGCCCAGAATTATTCAAGCAACAACTGTACGGGTTAGGGATTCTGTGACTATTGGCACTTGAGCCTTATCGGTCGCGTAAAACCCTAACCCTCACTGACCCTCACCCCTAAACCCAAACCCTAAACCCTAAAACTTTCTTGCACAGAGCATCAAGCCGAGCCAGCCAGGTCCAGAACATGTTGGTGACGGTGGTGCTTTCAGATTTTTTTTTTGGTTGTGTTTAGGGTTTAGGGTTTGGGGTATATGGTTGGGTAATTTTAGGGTGGCTATATTTGGGCTATATAGCGATGTTGGAAAATAAAACGGAAGCTAATGTTTGGGGTTCAGAGTTCTTGGGATATTGTACGGAACGAGGGAATATAAGCCCTATATAGTCCCTGTATTATACAGTCCGATATCCCCTACTAAGTACCCGTAAGAATTCCCAGGCCTCCTCACCAGTCACATGGGAGGTGAAGGCCCGCGTGATGTACCTAAGCAAGAAAGCAAGACTAATTGGCTTGCTGTTAAGGAATTTAACAAGTTACCATAATGATTTGCCATAATGGGTAGATATAGCACTTAATATGGTCTCCCCGATATAGTAACTTAAATCCATATTTTCCAGCAGTTTCCATGTCATTTTACATTTTCTTTTCCATTGATTCTCCCTAATGCTTAAACCCTAAGTTCCTTATCAGCAACCCAGCTAACGCTTGCGGCGGCCGACTTGAATGCTCTGAGGTCCCTGGCATCCCAGCAAGACGCTTCCGAAGGTGTTTCTTGGCAGCCTTTTAGGGATACTATCCTCCAATAATGGAGAATCAACTGGAAAAGAGAAGCGGAGATGAACTAGAAACTGGGACTATACAGGGGACTATCGGAGTTATAGTCTAGACTCTTAGCATCCTCCTTAATCACGCCTAGAAGGTGTTCACTATATAATTCCCTACATGTTGGATTTGGGGTGAGAGCATCGGCAGACCCGTGCTGATGCCTGCATGAAGCCTTGGCAGAGACATATGGCCATTATCCCGAGCCTATTTGGACCTGAATTAACGCCGACTACTCCCCGATCCTTAGTGTCGCAGATGTTGTGGCAAATGAGGCTCTCACCTTAAAACCCTTGGAAACTGCACAAACATGTCGCTGACGCCACCTAGTCTGCAAAACTGCTCAACACTCCTACACTCTGAGCCCTGAAGTCTTAGAACTCGATCCCAATGTTCAATCCACAAAATCAAAACTTCTGAAACCCCACAACCTTGGACCCAAGCACATTAAACGCCTAACACGCTCTAAACCCATTCAGGAAGCCAGTGGTTTTGACCAACCCTGCTTGCTTCCTCTCTTGGTGTTCGTGACCAGGGGTTTTGGGATCGATCCTAGGCCCTAAAACCTTAAGCCCCAAACCCTGAAAAGGTTTCGGATCAATCCAAAATTTCGATGTGAGAGTTAGGCTGACATTGTATGCGCGTGAGATTCAAAACGAAAAACTCTCTCCAGATTGCCCCTAAGCACTTCAGCCGTATAACGCAGGCTAGGACCCTCAGAAATAGTTGCAATTTCTTGCTCAACCCTCAAAATCTGAAAGCTTTAGAATTTAAAAGCCCAATGCCCTTAAACCTGAAACCCCAAACCTTTAATGCTTAACAATAAAACCGAAACCTTAAGCCACAAATTTGAAAATGCCGAAGCCCTAAACCCTAGAGTGCGCCCTCAAATCGGTCGTTCATCCTAAGGTCAGCTTCTAACTACCCAGTCCAGAATCCCTTCTCTTCGGGTTTCGGGCTTAAAGCTGAGGTTAAAGGTTTATTGCTTGGCATTTAGGGTGTAAGGTTTAGGGTTTGAGGGGGTTAGGGTTTCTATAAACATGCGTACAGCGCGCGATCAACCAGGCTGAAAGTCGTCGAGGCGATGCGACAAGCTGGAGTCAAACGGCCTCGCACCTGCAAAGCGGTAGGGGTTTTGCAAACCGCGCGAGACCCTTCACGCTCCCTTTAATCTGGGTTGCTGTGAGGGAACTTGATTTAAGTTACTATTTTGGCGAAACCGTATTTTCATAATTTCTGCCTATAGCCACTATGGTAGCTTAATTTCAGCTCCTGAACAGCAACCCAGTAAAGTGGTGGGTAGAGGGAATCCTCACGTGGAGGGTTCAGGGTTCCTCAAAAGGGGAGGGCTGTAAACCCTCACCCCCATACAGGCCAACAAACAGAAGCCATGGCGCTCTAAGCCCGCGCTTTTGGACACGTTTGAGGCTGAGGGCAAAGATGAACTTACTGCACAAGGGAATGAGATCTTCAAGTGTTTTACGATTACTTTACTTGCTGGTGGTTATTCGGGAATAAGGGAATATAATCCCTATACCTTCCCTTATTCCCTACCAACCCCCAGTAAACTAAAGCACTGCGCCCGCACGGTTCTTGACTGCATTGCCAGGGCACCAAGTGCAACGCCAACCCGAAGCATTCAAGTCCCAATGCCTTTGGAGGCCCTGTCAGACAGCACCCTAAGACGGTAAGAGTTTAGTCACAGAGTCCTTGAGTCACCCTATAACCCTAAACCCTCAAGCCTAACCATAGATCCTAGATCCTCAGCCCTCCACCGCACAAGCAGCGCGACCCTCGCAACCCCAAACCTAAATCCTAACCTTAAATCTTAGATCCGCAACAAAAAACATACCCTAGATCCCAAGTCCTGAAACCTCAAACCCTAGATCCCAAATCCTAGAAAAGCTAAGATCCCAATGCTCACGCTCTGACCCTAGTTCCTCAAGCCCTAAATCCCTAAAACCCTAAACCCTAAATTCCTAAACCGCAAATGCCTAAACCCTACATCCCTAAACCCGAATGCCCTGAATCCTTAAACCCTAAATCCCTAACCGCTAAACCCCTAGACTCGAAACCCCTGAATCCCTACCCTAAAATCCTATACCCTAAATCCCTGAATCCCGAAAGCCTAAATCTCCTTCTGCAAGGTATGCAGTGCTGGGCGTGTGCTACGGTGCCTGGGTTGGCTTCCATCTTGCCCGGGCAGTGCCTTCCTGGGAATTGCCGCTGGGAACGGAGAGTTTGGGGGTTTCGGGTTTTGGGGTTTTGGGTTTTGGGGTTTTGGGTTGGTGGGGGTTGGGGAGTTTGCGGGGAATCAGAGTGGAGGGTTTTCGGCTTAAGGGGCTGAAAAGGCTTTTGGGGTCGATTTCGGTGGGGGTTTTAGAGTTTAAGGCTTTAGCTTTGGTTTGTCTGGCGCTCAGCAAGTCCAGAACCCTGACGGAATCTGGGAATATCATCCCTATATTATATGATCCCTACAGTATATATTATATTCACTTATTCCCTACTTACCACCAGCAAGCTGAGCCGTGGTTTTGAGTTTGGCCTTGAGGGGGCGTTTAGGGGTTCGTGGCTTTGGGGTCTATATGAGCTACCACCACTGTTGGGGTTACCAAGGCACCATGAGGGTGGACATAGGGATCCCATTGGTAGTTCAGTATAGTTTCTAATATGTTCCTTACTAAGGAGCCCATGTCCACCACGTAATTATCCGGGTAATCTTGACTGTAGCTCATATAGGTTGGCGGCAGAAGAGGGCTTTGCAGGGTCAAGAGCAGGGGTTCTAAAAGCCGCTAGCTTCTTTCCACTATACTGGCAAGAATGCTTTAAATAGGGTTTGGGGGATTAGGGTTCAGAGATTGTTTGTTTACATAACAACATGCATAACAAGCAACCATCCAGTGAAGGGTCCGAAGGGAGTGTTGCCTTGGGCCATTGGCATGCTGAGTGCCTCCGCACATTGCGTTCGCAATAGGATTCTTGTGCAAAAAGCTCATAAACCCTAAGCCCTATAAACCCCAGCTTTCTTCCTGTTCTTGGCTCAAGTCCTACTACCTGGGGCAAGGCATGAGCTGCACCTGGTTCCCCTTGACAGGGTGCGGCCTGGGAATTCCACAGGAAAGACCGCATCTCAGCCACATAGCTCTATCAGCATTTGCCAGCATTTGCCTATGAGGATCCTTGTATACAAGTGGCCGCCACTCAGCAGAACGCAAGATCCCGTGCCTTGGTGGGTTTAGAAGAATCCCCAGACTTAAGTTGAATTGCTAATGAGGATCTGCGGAGCATCACCGCATCCCAGTCTTCACATGGAGGCCGTGGTGGGAGGACAGGGTCTATGTTTTCCTGTGGGCTTGAGGGTGTAGGTTTCACGGCTCAGGGTTTGGAATTTAGGTTGCTCCGTTGCGGTTGGGGGCGGAGAAGGCCGTGATACAACCGCTCAAAAAGCACCGGGCCGGTATGTAGGGAGGAGCAGTACTGACCATCTCCTGAGCTGATATGGTTTTTCACAAAGACTACCACCGTGGTAAAAAAGGCGCTGCCAGGGTTTCTATGTTAGTTTTTGTGTTGGAGGGACTGACCCTGGATCTCCAACCTCCACCGCACATTAGCCACAAAGCATGATGGCAGGCATGTTGATACATGTCACGCTACTGGCAAGAATGGCCCTTCTCCCCAAACCCCAATTCAGTAAACACTGGAGTGGATAGCCTCTTCTCCTTCGATCCTTTTCTGTCTCTTACGCGTGCCTGGGCCGGGGGCGGCTTAGCCGCACCCTGTGTTGCAGTGGCTGTGCTTTTCATTCGGGGGCAGGTCACGCGCTCCTAGGGTCGGGGGGTGCAGGTAACTCCTTCCACATGGATCTCATACACATTTCTGGCGATTTGCGCTACTACCCAAATCGCAGCTACTCTATTACTGTATTGCGTGTTTGGACCCTATATAGTAAACGTAACCTTCCAATTTCCCAATGCAGCTGTATACATACCTATATATCCACGTCACCCCTTTACAGCAGGGGACTAAAAATCGCGTACTTGGATGGTCAGAGAGATTCAATAAACAGGTGACAGAGCCCTAGAATCCATAGAGTAACCCTAGCTGCCACCATCATTCCTACTTCGTAGGAGACCCTGACGCAAACCCTAAACCCCGAACCCTAGACTTACCCCAAGTAACTGGCAAAGAGAAGGAGATCCGGTGGCCTTAGCTTCGGAAATCCGCTGCCCGTGGGCCTTCTTCCCTTGTGGCGAAGTAGGCCGAGCTTTTCGGGATGTAGGGCTTAGGGTTTATGTAGGGTGGAGGTTTGGGGAGTTACGGGCTTGGCAGCTTCAGGGATTGAGGCTTCAGGGACTTAGGGTTCAGGATGTAGGGTCTAGCATTGTTGTTTAGGTCTTGGGGTCAGCGATAAAGGCCGCCTGGAAGATGCTTTGCTTAGATGCCGATGCGCCGATTCGGAATCGGCTTTCCGCGCGACATAAAACACGAAACGCGCCTTGGGGTCTAGGCAGGATTTGGGGTGTGGGCTTCTGGTCCAGAAGGGCCCGCCATTTGGAACATTCTTTTCTGCAAATTTAGGAGTATGCGGGGTGTTATAGGTGCATTGAATTGGGCCTGCCCGTGGCGCTTTAGATTTACGAGCCAGGCAGGATATGAAGGCTTTGGAGTTCCAAGGAGTGGTAGACGCATTCCGCAAGTTTGAAGACTAGGTTTGGGAGAATTAGAGATTCAGCTTTTGAGCCGTTCAGGTGAAACTCTGTCGAACTGCAGATTCAGAGCAGTCTTAAGTTGGAAATACAATCTCACAACCTACAAGATGACGCTTGTCTGACGCAGGTCATCTACGGGGCGATGTAGAAAGCGTAGTGCGTCCTACGAGGTGTCTTGAGGGTGTTGATCACAGGGCTTCGACAAAATTTATGGCTAGTCCGCGACAGGGAAAGAAGGAGCAGATCCTGCGATGTACGATGCAGAAGGAGACTGGGCCGCCATTTAAGTAGTGCAGCAAGGATCCATATGGTCCGCTTCATTTTTTTTCAGCTTGAGTGCTCTTTTACAGTAGGTAAAACGAGTAAGGAAGCTACAGGGCTGTTCCCCCCAGTGACTTCTTAGCCATGCAACCCCCCAAGACCTCATTCATAAATTCAAAGCTCTTAATCTCAAATTCCAAAATAGCAGCCGAGGAGATGTCTTCCGCGCTTTGGAGATACGCTTTCCAGGCAAATGTCGAGTGCATTCCTAGCACAGTTACGACGCGGTTTGGGGTTTAGGGCTCTGCCGCTGCCCTTTGAGGACATCTGCTGCGAGTGCTAACCTACAAGGATTTGAGTAGCTTCGAAGCACCAGCTTTATTGCCAGTGCACTCTTTGGATTATCATTACCACTGATCATTCACACCCAGCTTAGGTCAGTAAGGTTTCAGATTTGTTGAGCGTTATCAGGGTAATGCGCGTTCGATTTGCCTACCCTCACTTCGACTTCAGCTCATGTTCATTGAGGAGTATGAGGCCGTAGTGGACAAACTCCCCCCCATGTGCCATACCCTTGCCCTACAGTCTCCCTGAAGTAGATAGGATATGGATTTGGGTATGATATAATAAGATCCCTATATACCCCATATTCTATCTACTTAAGGGGGGCTATACCCCCCCCCCCCAAAGTCGCAAAAAGTAAGTCCACACCCCTTCCGCTGGCCCAAGCCCAAGAGGATAACCCCAAGGCCTACGCCCTACATCCCACCTGCCACCCCAATTAACTACAGTTTAGTAGTAAGTACCCCTGAAATTGTATTTAGAACCCAGGAAACTGTAGGTAATTGGGGTCACAGGTACATCTCAAATCCTTCAGTGCCAACCCTAAGCCCTAAACTCTATAATATAGGGGGAGTTTAGACTATGGCTCACATCCTGCAGTGCGGCAGTGTGACTCGCATATAGAAGCCCTGGAGCCTCCCTAAACCCTAAGCCTTATAAACCCTCCCATGAAACCCTAAACCCTAAAACCTAAACCCTAAACCCTAAACCCTCCCATGCCCAGGCAAGAACGTCACCAAAAGGTACCCCGATGTGCGCCATGGATTCTTCGCACGTGGTGCCATCAAGGATGGCAACTTCAAGGTCGCTTAGTTCAGGAATGGAAATGAAAATGCAAACTGTTTTGGGGTTTAGGTTTAGGAGGAATGGAACAGAAAATGGAAACTACATTCTAGGGTCTAGGGGGTAGTGTTCAGGAATGGAAAAGAAAACTACTATTTAGGGTTTAGGGTTTAGGAATGGAAAAGAGAATGGAAACTACTATTTAGCGGGTTTAGGGTTTAGGAGGAATGGAAAAGAGCATGGAAACTACTATGGTTACTATGGAATGAGGGAGTTCAAAAGACCATGGAAATGACGAATGTGCTATAAGCCATAGTCCAAACCCCTTAAAAGGGGGGTTACGTAAGGGGTTATGTAGGTGACTATTCTAGGGGTCATTAAAGGGGATACTAGGAGTTTAGACTATAGCTCATAAAAAGTTATATAGAGGCTGCTTTGGGGATCCGTTCCTCAATGTTTGGGGTTTGACCTCTTGCTAAAGGGATTTGGGGAAGTGGAACCTCTGGCTTCAGGGTTTGCGGTTTTGGTTTAGGCAAGGGTCTCAGACTCAGGGTTTCGGGTCTGCAGTTCATGGGTTCACAGCTGATTGTATGGTGATAAGAGAAGGGATTCCGTCAATTATTCAAAGTGCAAGCAGCTGGACTGTTAGCAGCTGGTTGTGCAGCTTCTGCTTGCAGGACAATCTCTCAGAAAAACAGTTGTTATGAGGCTGTCTTATGCCTCTCTGATTACCCGGTAGGGAATCCTCATCTTTGCAGCAGGGAAATCACCTGACTGCTTAAAGTTTCAGTTCGCGTCGTTGTAGCTGTTTCTAGTGGAGCAGAACTTTCTGAACCCTGTGCCGCAACATTGCACGTAGCTCTTGACCATCAGTACTGTCGACCCTGAACCCAGAATTCGAACTAAAGACGCATGGAAACGGGAGGCTGGCGACGGCGACCAAGTGAAGGGAACAGTGGCGGAATGCGTGGGTGAAGTTTCCGCCTACTTCAAGAAAAGAGGCCGCGTCATGCCGCATCTATGTTTACCAGTTGGTTGTAGGTTGTAGGTTATATGAGCTACTGTCCAAACTCCTAGTATCCCCCTTAATAACCCCTATAGTAGTCCCCTATATAATACCCTATATAACCCCCTTTAAGGAGTTTAGACTATAGTTCATATGTAGGTTTGTCGCACACAAGGCGCTACAGGATCTTGGCCGTTCTAGCGTGACTTCGTCCGGGGTTGGGGTCGGGTCCAGGGGTCCAGGGCTTAGGGTTTCACGGTTGAAGGTTTGAGTTCTGGGTCAGTTTCCTTCCCAGATGTTCTTTATTAGGAGTTTCAGAAACAACCCATACCCAGGCCCACTTTTGAAGACCTTCCTCCAAAGTCCTGTTTACCTAGGATCCCACAGGCCTTAGGGTACCAAGATTTAGGGTTTGGGGTTGATAATCCCCCTTGAGTAGATAGAATATGGGGTATATGGGGATCTGATTATACTTTACCCAAATCCATATTCTAGCTACTTAAGGGGACTATAGGGTCTCAATTTCTCAAACCAAGTTCTTCTCGCTACAGCACTGACAATATAAAGCCTGAGAGTGTGATTCCAGGTTCCGAAGTGCCATCCTATCTCAATGTCGCGCGCATAGAGAAAGGGTACCCGGTGCTAAGTAGGAATGAAGGAATGGATCCCTACAATTAGGTTAGTAGTCCCCACATGGTCCCCTATGCTAGTCCCCATAATAACCCACTGCCTGAAGGTCTGCTGAAAGCTGAGTCGAAAGTCTACTTTCCTCTGCTGTGCTGGTGCTGGTGCTGCAATTGACGTGTGAAGTATAAGGGCTTTGGAGGCAGGATGTGGAATTACGGAATTCCTGAAAGAGTGCTATAGACTACCCACGAGCCTGGTTCTCCATCTTTTGGGGGAGAAGACAATGTAAAATGTGGGTAGGATCTCACTTAACTAACTCAGTCTCGAGAGGGATCCAGGGAAAAAGCTTCGGGTGTAGGATTTAGGGTGGTCCAAACATTTCTTCAATTGCCCTAGGGATCCCAATAGCCCAATGTAGGTAATAGTTACAGACTTTAGGGCCCCATGTAGGTGCGCTATTTGTATACTTGGATCCCTAGGGTTGGAGAACGTGTGAGCTAGAAGAAGGGCGCTGGCAGGAATTTGTGCTGGAGAGCTGCACAGACCCCGCGGTGCTGATGAAACTTAGGATCGTATAGGATTTGGGGTCTGGGGTTTAGGGTTTAGGGTATAGGATTGAGGGTTTAGAGTTTAGGGTTAGGGTTTAGGGTTTAGGATTTAGGATGTAGAATTTAGGGTTTAGGATTTAGGGTTTAGGGCTTTGGGTTTGGGATGTAGGATGTAGAACTTAGGGTTCAGGGCTTAGGATTTAAGATTCCGGGTTGGTAGGGTATTCCCACAAGGTAGCTTATTGGATCTTGCCCTGAGATGGGCTACTTTCCCCGATGGTTGGAAGGATCTAACCGTTAGACTATCAGTAGAAACCCGTGGCAACCACCATTTAGACCCCAACCCTAAAGCCCACCCCAAACCCTAAACCTTAAAACCTTCGACCCTAAACCTCAAAGCCCGCGCTGCGGGTAAAGGGGGCGTGCAAAAAAACCTGAAACCCAAAACCCTACACCCTTATGTATGTTTGTATGCGCATTTCAGAGTCTACTCTTTTGTTGAAGGATTCGGAGCTCAGTCCACGCAAGTTGCTGCACCAGACCGCTGAGCGCTAGATGCGTTTGAGAGCATGGCTGCTCTCAAACCTGACCCCAGACCACCTTGAGCTATAGCTTGTGTTAAACAAGGGACCATACTATCATGGGTTCAACTAGTACCCCCCTCTATACTACCCCCCCCAGGTTCCCGCTTAATTAACCTTACTCAAATAACCTTAATTAAGGGGGGAACCTAGGGGGGGGTAGTATAGAGGGGGGTACTAGTTGAACCCATAATACTATAAACCCCCCCAAAATATTAGTAATCCTTGTGATTGGGACCCCCCCCAAAGCGCCAGATCTGCCTTCTGAGTATTGATCTCTTATGATTTCAGACTTCAACCCTTAGGGGTGATATGAGGGTTTTTTGGGGTTATTATAGGGATAATGGAAAATGAAATGGAAACTACTATATGAGCCATAGTCTAAACTCCTAGTATCCCCCCTAATATCCCTTATGGTAGTTCCCCATATAATCCCCTTTAAGGAGTTTAGACTATAGCTCATATAGTATATTAGGGGTTATGTAATGGAATCCTGAAGCCTCAGCTCTAAAATCTCCATCCCTCAGCCGTAAGCCCCAAAGCATGGAGCCCAATCCTACACCGCTGCCACGGCCAAAACGGAGTGCTTGCAGTGCTGCTTTGGTTACGTAGATAGACTGCAATGACTACTTACTGGTGTTTAGGAACGGTTTTCAGGGAATAAGGGGATATACCGTATACGGACTATGTAGGGGTCCCCCTTCCCTGCTAGAGGAGGTTTTAGGAATGTAGACTGAGTTACTTTTTTGCTGCCTCTATCTACTTCATAGCTACGAACCCTGGAGCCCGAAGCTGAAACTCAAATTCTAAGTTGCTAGGAGGGAATAAGGGAACACTTCACGTACGGAGCATACAGGGACGCTAATTCCTAAACCCTAAAACCTAACACCATAAACCCTAAACCTTAAATTATTCCCACATTCCCTACTAAGCACCATTAAGGAAAGTTGTGAAGGGATCTACTCGGGGGCTGCCTGCACTCCTCGCAAATATGGGTTTAGGGTTTAGGGGTTGATGACGGGAGGCGTGGTGTTGTGCTAGTAGCCTACTGTTGATGGAGAATGCTTGCACGACCAAGAGTCCCAGAATTGCCACGAGTGACAGTAATTAGATTGTATACCCTAAATTGCCCCAAGATTTCCGCACTCACGAGGTTGAGCATGTGGTAATTTCTCTAAATAGTACCGTAGGGTTCAAGATGTAAGTCCAAGACCTGATCCCTCCCGTGGAAAAGGGTGCTGTTCTGCAGAAAACACCTTCTCGTAAGGATCTTGTTCTTGGTTTCAACCAGCAGGCCTTTCTAAGGGCTGCTGGTCCGGTTCTCGGGGGCAGCTGGGCCCACTCCCCTGAATGAAAATCGCA